AGAGAGAGAGAGAGAGTCAAGAAGGAAAACAGAACAGTCTAGCATCTTCTTGGTCCATGTGTCAAATATTAAATAGAACTTAAGGGGCAAGTATCAGCTTCATCATCATCAGCATCCAAGCTTTATCCCAATTATTTGGGGTCGGCTACACGAATTCCGTTCTACCACTCCTCATTATCAAAGGCCACACTACCATAAGTCACCATATCTTTTCTCATTATTTCCATCCATATCTTTCTTGGCCTTCCCCTTGGTTTTTTAGAGCCTTCAACGTGAACCAAATCACTCTCTGAACAATAATTGTTCCAGGTTGATGTTGCACATGGCCAAACTCCCCAAGTTTACTTTCCCTCTATCTTGTCGCCTATTGAAGCCACCCTTAAGTTCCCTAGGATATATTCATTTCGAATTGTAACCTTTCTTGTCATGCCACTCATCTATCTCAATGACCTCGTCTTAGTTACACTCATTCTATGGATATTTTGTCTCTTAACCGCCCAACAATCTATACACTGGTCTTACAGCTGTCTTATAGAACTTCTCCTTCAGTTTTATAATTTCATTGGTATGTAACGATCATATGAGACTCCGACAGCACATCTTCACTTCATCCAATTAGCTCTAATTCTATGCATGACATCTACCTCAATCTCCCTATTCTCATGGATTATAGCTCTAATTCTATGCATGACATCTACCTCAATCTCTCTATTCTCATCGATTATTTAAAAATTAAGGGGCAAGTATATTATGCAGACAAACCAGAGCAACCCATCCCAAAGAGGGCAAGTTTACTTGTAGAGAAGGAAAGGATCCAAAGAGGCAGAACTTGGTGAGATGACTCCATGTGATGTCATTTCTTAGGTGATCATCTAAAAACATAACAGAGGCTATTACAGCTGAGAGGGGACAAGTCTAGAGGCAACTAACCGTTTAGCAAGAATAAGGCTGTAAGTATTGGAAAGAAAATGCCTTTTGCACTTGGTGTTTTGAATCTCAGTTTCGATAAAAGAACTGAAGGAAAGGCAAACTCAGACAAATAAAGTAGTTTTATCAATGATAGTCAAGTCCAGATCATCATAAAATGTGCTAGGTGCTTGATCTGGTATTTGTCTTTGGTAGAGATCCAAGCCCCTTTGCTTGTAACTCCTGGCATTCTAAACATGTGATCAACAAGGGCAATTTATGCATAATAAAGTGGCTTATAAAGAGTTAAGCACCATGGATGTCTAAAACGTGATTTTATTGATACTGACTTCTGATACCATGCATCATATATGTTGGCCATGTTCAATGACAAGCAGAAATGTGAAGGGATATTTTTTCCTACCTCAGAAAATAGAATACTCTTAAGCAATAATTGAGATATCCCTATAGGAACATCAAACGCTAAACTCTAGAAGGCAGAGTCACATCAAGTTCTTTATTTGAGCAAGTACGCAATGAATCATTCAATGAAATATACGATTGCCAATCTATTAAAGTTTGATCAGAATGATAAACATATATCAAAGTCGATGAAGAAAACATTGCATATAAGAATATGTATATTTATTTCTCCGAAGTGGCTGGGAGAAGTGAGTCCAATTACAAATGCACCCTACCTTGTGCATAATTTTGATTGCTAATTCGACTTCTCTTTCTTGCGACCATCTCTCTGGAAATTTTGCCTTCAGCTCCCGCTCCCATGTCCATCCCCAAACATCTGCAATAGTATACATGTCGGACACATCAAAAATTCTTCTTTCTCTCAGTTCTTTGAATGCTTCTTGAAGATCCTCTGGAAACCAGTCGTCATCATCATCATCCTGTATTCAACCAACAGTTAAAATAAGTACAATGAAGAAATGAAGGCAGCAGCATTTAAAGTTCGAATATAAGAACAACAAGGGGAAAGAAATATTCATATTTTAGAATAAATGGAGATGCAAAATATGGGAGAACTCGAATATGATTGCAACCTCCAATGAACCTCTTCTGGAACTCATAACAGTAAACAATCGTTGAAGTATATGCAGTAACTTCAAACCATAACAATGAGAACTGCTTAAGAAATGTTGCTAATATTAATTGGGATATGAAGTGGCTACAACTTAAAAAATGGGAGTCTCGAGGAGTGCATTGTGGTCCAAACATTAACCTCTGACTCCCAGAGCAAGAAGAAAATAACGTCATAGAGAACAAAACTTAACAAGATATAATGAGGATGGAAAGTGAGTGCAAACCAGTGTTGTTATATTTGCTTCGCTTCGGGCGAAGCACCAAAAGTATATGGGTTTCCCCTAATCAACGAAGCGAAGCGAATAGCAATGATGTTTCGGCACGATATTTTGCCATTCAAAACGAAATTGCGGCATCATCAACTCTTCGAGCATAGAGTGAGAGAGCGTGGAGCCCCAAGTCCAACTAATATGAGGCACGTATTACACTAAGACCTCACTGCCCACATGGCCCCATCACTCGTCAATTCGTCATCCTCTTCAACAAGTACCACCTTGCCCCATTTCTCTTGTCTTTGTAAAATTCCACAACTGTCCTTTACTTTTATTAAAATCAAATAAGTAGATTACCAAGCCACCTCTTCATCATGTGAAAGGACTATTATCTCTTCATGCAATAAAATAAGGGTGCGGTTTGTATAGAGCCTACCTTCAAATAGTGTCGAAAAATGTGGTTTTAATATCGGAAATCTTTGTGATAGCCTTAAAATATATATTCATATTTATTTATAAAGTTTAAAGCTTCAAAAATAGTATAGATCGACATATCTACGAAAACTTGGAAATCTTCAAAATTGACGGTCCAAAAATGTGTTACAAAATACATTATTTCCAAAACTTGAAATCCATTTTTTTCTCATGTTCGTGCATATTGATGTCGAGATGATCGATTTGACGATATTTGGGCATCAAAACAACCTCTTCTAGTGAAAGTTTTTATGTAGGCTCAAATTTGATTGTTTAGAGCCTCGGCTCTATATAAACGTTTCCCATAAAATAAATTGAATTCTTTTTTTCTTTATTTTTTTCTTTTTGATATTTTTATTTTTATTTTCTATTATTTAATATATTTATATATATAAATGTATACTTTATTTATAAATAAATTGGCAGAAGCACCGAATTGCTTCATTTTTCTGACCAAACTAAAGAAGGCTCCGAAGCGAATCTGACAACATTGGTCCACACAACTCTCACTTCAGTATGGAATCAAGATAGATTCCCTACTTTTATAAAGATGTGCCACAAATAGGGCCCATGCACAACTCAAAGCACACATCTAGATCTAGAGTCAATATCATTTGGAAATAGAAGTCACTATCATAGAAGAATTTAGCATATCCAGTCAACATGTTATATTGAAACCAACTAATCAAGTGATTTTCATCTGAGATTGATGCATGAAAGCAACTAAAAATATGCAAATGTGAAAACCACCTACTTCAAACCTATTAAGAAAGATTGAAAACAATAAGAACATGCAAGGATCTGTGTTTAGTGCATTATTTCTAACCTCAACCATTGGCCTGACTCTCCTTCGTGATCTTCTTGATGTTGGAAGTTGAGAATCCTTCAATAATTGAACTCCAATCATTTGAAGAGGTGGTTTAACCACCTCCACTTCTTTTTCCTTAACCCCATCCTCTTCTTGACTTTCAGTAATTTCCTCCTCTTCTTCATCCACTTCATCATCTTCCATATCTTTTGGATTGTCATCGGTATTGTCAATATCATCCAATGTGTTGGAAGTATCCAAATCTTCTAATTCAATCTTCTTGTCAGGAACACTACCTAAACCTTCCCCAAGGAAACGCCTTCTCCAAAACTCTGTGTTGCCCTCTTCTAACCGGATCCTTGAAATCCATTCATCCAATTCTTCATCGACCTGACTTGCAAATTTGGAAGGTCAGCATAGGCAAAAACCTTTTTTTAAAAGCTAGGCATAATTAGGATTCGGAGGAAATTTTACACCCGAAAGGATAAAGGTCACAATAGAAAATTGGATGCACAATTGGAAATATAGAATAAGTAGTTAAGGAAAAGAACTTATATAAAATGAAGCATGAAAGAGCCAGGTGTTTCATCTGACCAATGGATATAAGGATCGATACCTCCTCTTCTTCTTCCTCCACTGGAGGAACCCAAAGGGGACGACCTCGTGAACGGTTTATTCTCCTAGCCTTTTGCACTCTCTGGTAGAGAACTTGCCTGGTTCCATCGGTAGGTAAACCTTGTGCCTCCAATTCCTCCTTTAATTCAGAAACTATCATCTTACTAGCAGCCTTTGGCTTTAGAGCAGTTTGATCAGGTCCTTTGATGACTTTCTTCAATCTTTCAACTACTCTAGCATAATCAGCTTCAGAAACATCCCCTAAAGCTGCACGTCCTTCATACTTCAGTTTCTTTAAAAGCTTCCTGTTGTGCACCTTCAAGTTCTCAAGACATCTTTGTTTGTAAGATGTCTCCATTGGGTTAGAATAAGCAAAACCAATCGCATCAGGATCTAGTGGGGTTTTTCCCCTGCGAGGCACCCACCGCTTGCGCTCTGCTGTCAAACCCCCCTCTGCTATATACCTGAGGAATGATCATACATAAAACTTCTCCTCAGGATGCAATACTTTTTTATGCAAAGCAATTGATCTGAAAAGCAGCCATGGTAAGTAACTCAACTGACTGAATACGCAGCTACAGCAAAAAATGCCCACCCCATATGCAATTATGTTCTGTAAAGTTTAGAAATGAACCGTCTGTGGTTTGCAATCACACAACACATCTAAAGGCAAGACAGATAATGGTGTCTTCGAAAATAATTACATACAAAGATTCAAGTATTCAACACATGAAAGTTTAATCTTAAACAATCTTTAAACACATGAACGTTTAGTCTTAAAGAGTGTTTAAAAACTTTGTTTCGACACACTAGGTCCCTGGGTTTTATTTTGAAAAATCAGCTATGTCTATGATTTCCAGCATTTAGAGTAAACATTCTGGAATTTATACACATACCACCTTTCACAAATGTGTTTTCGGACTTGGTCCCAATCTTGAATCCTCCCGTGGGCATAAGAACACCCTTTATCAAATTGAAAAACAAGCCAAGTTTTCAGATAAATTTGAAAATTAGGTCGAGTTGACTAGGTTTTGACTGTGACTGAGTCAGGGACCGATTTTGAGATTTTATACAGCAGTCTTGAACGTTAGAAATGCTGGATAACAGGATCACACTAAAACAGGACCCACCCAATAGTCCGTTTGCCGCCTCAGCATTGTTAATGTGTACCAAGAAAAAATATACATAAATCAGTGCGACAATCCCTAACATCAAGGATATGATGCAGATCAAAATGATTCATATGCTTATATACTGCTTATATACTAAAAAAAGAAGTGATTGGTTTGCGTGTATTCCAGATGTCATTACCTACCCTGGGAAATGCCCAGAATATAGAAACCCATTGAATACAAATCATTTAAAATCAAAACATGAATAACTGAATACCAATAATATCCATGTTCTAGAATTCTCTTCATAACCTATTTCAGTTTGGAGGAGAGGGAAAGTGTGCGAGTACAGTCGCTTCATTTGGCATACATTAGGTCTTCTTTTCTTAAAAAAAAATTTAATTAAAATAAGTAAGAAAACAGTAAAACAACTTCAGTAATTTTAAAAAATTTACTAAAGTTTTAAAATATAAAAGAATTCTTCATATGGCACATGAATTATCATTTATACAATCATTGGTGTCCATGATTTCTCATCATTACCTACCACAATTTTTAAATTGACACTGTGATACCATTTTTTGTAATTGACAATTCTAAGAAAATTACCATTTGCTGATTTTGACAAACGTCCTTACATCACCATAGATATCAGGTCCATATAGCTGTTCAAAGGCTTGGAATCAACTTAGGCCTTGCCTAAGCACTGAGGCGAGTTGAATCAGTGCAGCAAGCTAGTCATGATCAGAAAATTCTTTTTCTTTTTAAGTAAAAAAGGAAAATTTATAAATATAAGCAAAAATTATAACTAAGAATAAATAAACAGCCCCCAATATACGGTATAAGTGCCCTTTCACACTGAATAGTATGGTTAAACATCAATGGAACCCAAACAACAGGTTGCACTTTCAACTGTTTTGAAAACAAATAAAGCATGGCAAGTATTACAAAGACTCAGATGATCCATGATGAGAACCCCATGTTTTTCACCATTGTTATTCTCACCATAATCATAACTGCCCTCAAGCCACGTCCACCTGACATACCTCAGGTTGCAAAACAAATATTTGAGATGCAAAAATGGCAAGGATCAACTTTTAGCTGATTAAGTATAGTTTTATTTTTAACCATTGACATTTATCATTCCTTAAATGTGAGGATAAGTCAGCTACACATAGAAAATTGAGTAAGACATTCAAAGAAATTCAAGACTTTCTATCCATTGATAACAATATTAATATCAACATGAGAACCTTCAGTGAATTTCCAAATGCCCACCCTATAGTGATTCGTGAACCATATTCTAGGATCAAAAGTAACGAACAAACCTCGCTATGTAATCAACCTCAAATCCCAACTCTGCTTCTTCTTGAAGAGGCTCAATCCAAGAGCTCACTAGAGTGCGATATTTCTTGCTCAATATCATAGCTCTTGGGGTAATTGGCTGATTGTCTTTAGCCATTGCTTCTAGAGCCTCAAGCAATTCCACAATCCTTCCTAGTTTCAAATGTGCGCAAGTTATTAGGAATAAATGACATTTTCTTTTCAATAAAGAAAACCTAGACTGCAGAATAAATGCATCCTTTAAATGACAACACTTTAGTTTCAATCTTTCTATACATGTCTATGGCATTTTCATCCATCCATGAAACTCAGAATCGGATTTTTATTATAGCCAATGATACTATTATTATAAAGAAAATGAAAAGTTCAAAAGAAAGAGAAGATAACAATGACGTCAAGGGGCATCACGTGATGAGACAAAACACCAACCACAAACGTAACATCTCAAGTCACCCTAATATAAGCGAATGCCATCATGTCAGCATTACCTTCCATAATAACATGAAAGAAAAGATTATATATAGGAAGAAGTTTATATAAGGGTGGGGCCCTAAACAATCAAATCAAGGCATGCCTTAAAAATCTACTAGAAGAGGTTGTTTCGATGCCCAAAAATCCTCAAATCAATGATCTTGAGGTGTATATAGGATGTGGTTTGTAAAAGGCTGAGGCCGTAAACAATCAAAGTAAGACGCACCACGAAATAGTGTCAAAAGATGGTGTTTCAGCAGTGGAAATCTTTGTGATGGTATGAAAATTTATTTTCATTTCTAGCTATAAAATTTAGAGCTTCAGAAATAGTGTAGATGAAACAGATTTATGAGCACTTGAAAATTGACGGTCTAAATAATGCATTACAAGATGCACTATTTTAAATACTTGAAGTCCTTTTTTTTTCACGTCCATGTATCTCAAGCTCGAGATGATCAGATTTTAGGGTTTTATTGGCATCGAAACAACTTCTCCTAGTGAATTTTTAAGGTGTGCCTTAGTTTGATTGTTGAGGGATCTGTTAGTTATTGATGGGATGCACCCACATATGAGGCGCATCCCACCGCATATGCCGACACATAGTGCATAGTGCATAGTGCATAGCACCCGCATAGCCAAAAATAGTGCCGATGAGCATGGGCAGTTTATCTCCAACAAAGGATAATATTGGACTAAATGAATAAATTCAATACCTACTATCACATATATCACCTTCATATTTTTTTCCATGCATTAACCTATTTTTGAGATTTTTTAGAAATTTTTTATATTTATTGACCACTTGGGCAATGCCCCCACATCTGGACTGCATCAAGCTGCATCGGGACCACATCCCGCATTTTAAAACATTGATACACACACACACATGGAAAGGCCCAAATCCAAAACCTTCTTGATAATGTCTTACGAACTAGTTGATCAAAGCCTCCATGAACAGCCATGAGAAAAAACTACGACAATTACCCTCCATCATTGAAGGGCCTTCCACCAATTCAAGGTACAATTTGAGGCCAGTAAGGAGAGATTTGGCTTTTGGCTTTTGCGGTGGAGTCGCAATAATTAACTGATCCCAAGTAGGTCAATACGTGATGAACCCACTCCAGGAATACCCTTTGTGCCACTTAATATAAAAGATGGATATCATCATCATCATCACCGAGCCTTATCCCAACTACTTGGGGCCGGCTACATGAATCGTGTTCAATCATTCTTCTCTATTAAGGGTCATACCCTCAATCAAACTTCGAGTCACCATATCACTTTTAACTACTTCCAACCATATCCTTTTGAGCCTTCCCCTTGCCCTTTCAAAGCCTTTCACTTGAACCAAATCAGCCCTCCTTAATGATGTTGTATTTAGTCTACGTTGCATATGGCCAGCCCACCTAAGTCTAATTTCCCTCATCTTATCACTTATTGGAGCAATATTAAAGATGGATGTCTTGTGGTAATCATAAGTTCCACAGGATTGAAAGGATGCATATTTGCCATAATAGTTGACCCATTTTTGGAAGGAACCATAAGCACCAGCTGATAAACAGGCTCAACAACATAGGGTTATTCCACATACACGCCAAGATTCATGAAAAAGGCCCAAAGATTCAAACCAGCAATGAATCAACAAATGATCAACTGAGTCAAATCCTCATGGTGATGATGGGGATTGCAATGCCTCTACTAGGGAAGTGATCCACTGCAAGATACCATCCCTAACGACTTATTATAGGGAACGGCAAGCCTATCCAAGATTAATAAAGATTTTAGTTAAGCAGTCCAATTTCCCCAGTTGCCACAACTCGATTTTTATTTCCTATAACACTAAACATATTGAGACAAATTACTCCCTTACAACTCACACATTCACAAAACTATAGTGTTCAGTATAGTTCAGCCCTTGGATGCAAAAAAGGAAAATGATAACAAAGCCAACTGTACTCAACTCCAACTAGTCTTCTGCCAAGTCAAAGAGTTTGTAGCCCATAATGTTGACAAAATGCATTCCCCCAATCCGCTCCCTTAAATGGCTATTGAGACACGATATTGGAATTCCAAGTTTCAATAGTTATGGTAGTCAAAGTCATCAGTCTGACAGTCCTTATAATTTATGGATGGACATCTTTTGCTGTTATCTACCCAACAACATAAAAAATTACTTAATTGAGACGAGCAACAATAAAATTTCAAAGAACAGAAAAAGTAGTCCGCAGATAAACTAGATTTTCCCAAGCCATCAATGGAAGAGAGTAGTCAAGGAAGAGCAGAAAGATAGGAACTTTGTGTAAAGGAATACCTTTACTCAGGGTAAGGGTTCTTGCCAGATTCTACGCCCTAGAGGTATATGTAATGACATGCGCTATCATCCTAGCATGGCTTCTACATGTCACAAAGACGACTAAAAGTTATGGACTGCATTCAAAGTATTAGAGTAAAAACCATAGGCTGAAAGCAACAAAGCCATATTGTACTGTATCTACGCAATCATCATCATCATCAGAGCCTTTTTCCAACTATTTGGGGTTGGCTACACCAATCCTGGTTTGTCATTTTACTCTATCAAGGGTCATACCTTTAATGAGGCCATTAATCCCCATATCTTTTCTCACTACTTCCAACCATGTCCTTTTGGGCCTACTCCTTACCCTTTTGAGCCTTCTACTTGAGCCAACTCGCACCTCCTAACAGGTCCGTACTGAGTTTGCAATGCACATGGCCTGCCCACCTAAGTCTACTTTCTCTCATCTTGTTGTCTATGGAGCCACACCTTCTCCCAAATGTATTCATTCGAATTCTACCCCTTATTGTCTTGCCCCTCATCCATCTCAACTCCTCATCTCAAGTGTACTTATCCTATGGGTATGTTGTTTCTTGACAGCCTAACATTCCGTCCCAAAAAGCAAAGTTGGTCTCACAGCTATCCTATAAAACTTCCCCTACAGCTTCATTGGTAAGCGACGATCACATAGGTTGCACATTGCCCATCCAGCTCTAATTCTATGTGCAAAATCTTCCTCAATCTCGTCATTTTCCAAGATTATCGACCCAAGATATCAAAGTGTGCTCTTTCTGGTATTTATTGGCTGTCAATCTTAACTACTTCCTCGTCTATACTCTTATTATTACTAAACTTGCATTACATATGCTCTGTCTTAGTCCCACTAATTTTAAAACCTTTAGATTCTAGAGCATTCCTCCAAAGTTCTAACTTTGTGTTGACACTGTTGTAGGTCTCATCAATCAAAACTATGTCGTCCATGAAGAACATACACTATGGTACCTCATATTGTTGGTGCCTAGTTAAGTCGTCCATAACTAAGAGAGAGATATGGGCTCAACGCTAACCTCTAATGAAGACCTATTGTTACTGAAAACTCACTCGTATCTCCACTAGTTGTTCGCACACTAGTTACTATTCCCTTGTACATATCTCTCACCAAGTTGATATAGTATTTGGAGACTCTTTTCTTTTCCAACACCCACCAAATTAAATCTCGATGTATTTTATCATAAACTTTCTCTATATCAATAAAAACCATGTGGAAGTCTTTTCCCTTCGTCATAAACTTCTCAATTAGTTGCATAAGTCACAAAATAGCCTCAATTGTGCCCTCCCTAGCATAAAACCGAATTGGTTTACTGTATCTATAAATCAATCTAAGTGTGAAAGGAGTTAACTGTGAATGATAATATTGTATATAACACATATAAGTACATGGTTGTTAGTTCTTCAATTTCTTCACCAATAAGCATTAGGCTAATACACTATCATAAATATAAGGCTAGTATTCTATCACAACAGATATACATTGAAAGTATTTACATATACCATTCAAATTGGCCTCTATATTCGTAAGCATTCTTATTCTCAATATATTCATGTCTCTTCAGAGTTCATATGTTCATAGTCATAAAATGGTTTTCATTTCTTTTCTATGGAAAACAATAATACCTTTTCACATGGCCATAGACAAGCATCCAAGTCAACAATGGACATAAAAACAATACTTGCACAAAAATATGAACAATGCATTGCCATAAAGAAACTTTAGGGATTTATGAATAAAGCCAAAGGATATTCTACTCCCGAGGGAGTAAATAGATGCTTTACTCCCTCCAATTAAACCCCGCCCAAAATTACTTTTAGGACCCATATTGCGGTAGCTGTGGCAACGGGTCACTTGGACATGAACCCGGGTCTAGAAACCAATCACGACCTGGGTCTAAGTCATTTGGACCAAGACCCGACCCACGGGACCCAAATCATGGACCCAAACCAAGACATAGACCCACTCGATAGATTGACTAGACCGGATTGCCACCCCCATATTTCGGGATTGTAATAACGTCTCGAGATTGAACAGAGTATCCAATTCTTAGATGGTGAGAACTAAAAAAACTCAAATTTTAATTTTTTTCTTTTTGAGAATAATCATATACTGATTCTTAGTGGTTCCCAAAATTTCAGATTGAAAAAATCTTCCCAAGTAGGTCTTTTGACCGAGGGAGTAGAAGTAAACTATGCTCCCGAGGAACATAGTATACATGCTCATGAATAAATATGTTCTTGCATGGCATAACATGTCTTCCCATCTCATTTCAAGTTTCCTATTGTTGAAGTTATTCCAAGCTGCAGGCAAATCAGCAAGTAGTTTACTCATAGTGCAATACCAGTATATATAGCAAAGTATTAGCAGCCTACTATATACCAGAAAGTATGCGTACTTTCAACTTCAAAAATTGAAGGACATTTCCCCAATTGTGCATTAAGTTTTGCATAAATAACAAAGTGCGTACTAAACAGGAAACATAAATATTCACCATGAAAATAAAAAATGGAAAACCACAAGAAAAGGAAAAAAAAGAAAAAAGATGCACTAAAACAAAGTGAATGAAGCAATCTATACATACCTTCCCTGCATAAAGCTCGAAGATACAGTGAAAGAGGATCACCAAAGTTTCCTTCGTTGCATAAAACTCGTGTCCCACCTTCAAAATTTTTTAGTGCACGAAAATGCCGTATAGCTTCCTTTAAGACACAATACTTGGTAAAGCACTCTACTAATAGCCTGAGCATTAAAAATATCATAAATTTCAAGAGGGATTCCAATAGCTACTTAGGCATCAAGATAGAATGGACATCATCATTTCTTTTGAAGGAAAATTAGCAAGAGAAGTCCATAAAAATTAACAAGGAGAATATCTGCAGGATACACCATATCTTACATACAGAGTAAACATTAATCCTTATTAATTCCTAACCACAACTAGAGGTCTCTATGCTTGACTATCATCAGATCAAATATTAATAATGTTTATTGTGTAACTAAATTTGCTCAGTCACCCAGGATGCTAAATAGGGCTACTTACATCATTGTTAAACATGTGTTGTCTACTCTTGGATTTCCTCAAAGACTCAACTACCTACAAACTGTTGATGGTTCTTTTCCCGGCAATTGATATTTCTCAAATTTAGTCCATTTGTTCAATCACCCAGGATGTTGCATATATCAAACTATTCGATATCTCAGTTTATTCTTTGCAGATGTTAATTCTTGTCCACCTCTACATATTAACAAATTAGAACAGCGGAATCTGCTAACTCAGGCTGGGCAGGCTCCCAAATATTGTAGGTTTATGCCTGCATTCAGTATCTTTGAGAGACTCTTCTTTCTTGACACTACAAGAAAGAAAATATAGCATCCAAATAAAAGAAAATATAGCATCCAAATAAGTAAAAAAGCAGAGTATAGAGTCATATTCGAGATTTTCTAGCTCTGAATGACCTTAGTATGAGAGTAACCTTTATCCTAACCCATTTTAATGTGATAAGATTAGCAAGATTAAAACTTCTCTGAATCCACTTTTTGCTGGTGGAACGAACATATAGGGATAGGTTTTCATTCTCCTGTGAAAGAGTCTGGCAGAAGACGTATCTCTCTTCCTTAAATGTTTTTGATAGGTTACGATGAAGCAAGTGATTCTAGTTGAGACGGGCCAGTATGTGACTTTATCTTTCTCCTTGAGTCCTTCAAATAACCAAGTTGCAGATTTTTTTTCTGAAGTCACAAGACAAAAGTCATGACTACCTAGTGAGAAAGCTATGCATTATCTTGGTCGCTCATCTCTAGAGGTGCCCCAGCTTGAGGGGCATGTTGAGAGATATATATTAGAATTTGGAATTTTGTGCCTTGTGCAACATTTTATCTGTAAATGTATTCTGTATATATGTAATATGTTCGAAGCAGTGATTCAAACCCACCATTCTGGATTGGGAATAGTCGATCCGGATTGGGAATCATTTTGGGATGAACCGGTTCCCAACAAGTACCAGAAATTGGGTTGACTCGCGGTGGATCGCCTATTCCCTCAAGGAACCAGGCGATCTTGTCAGGGAACCACGCAATTTCTTATTTTTTCCTTTTTTTCAATTTTTTTCTTTTAATGGACCGGTTCTCATACCTGAAATCGTTGGATCAACATTCTAGACTGGTTTCCAGGATGATCGGTTTGCCCAGCCAATCAAGGTTTTCGGACACTAGTTTCTAGTGTATTTGTTTAGGAGCGTATTTGTTTAGGCTATTTCAATTATTCTACAATTGGTACTTTTGTCCCTGTCACGTTCGTATCTTGTACGTAAAGGATCATACCCTCATTCTTATTGAATAGAATTTGCTCTGTTCCTTCTAATGCTAACCTCTTCCGGAGAAGCTTAGCATTCAAATCACTTCATGTCCTCTTTGGAGATAACTTTAATATATCTGTATGACTTCTAAATTCAGGTTGTAAAGGGGTCAGGACAGGTCCGGGTTGGCCATGACCCAGACCTGACCAGGTCCAAGGTCACCCTACCAAGACCCGACCCAGGAAAGGCCAAAAAGACCAAGACCCAACCTAAGTCAAGTTATATTGTATTTATATTTGATTTAAATAAATAAAATTATGTATTAAACATAATATAATGTGTGTGTATATGTATGTGTGTATATATGTGTTTTATTGTTACGTATGTATAATGTAGTATTATATATTTTGTAAATTTTACAACCTTATTATAATAACTCTCTCTCTCTCTCTTATTCTCAAAAAAAAAATAACTCCCTCTCTCGCTCTTGCAAAGACATCCCCCTCACCCCATATTTTATAGCATCATTCACCCACCTCTTCCAATAGTTGACCAATGTTGGAATCTCAGACTAAAGTTTCAAGGTTCTAAGGTAGGCAATGGATAATGCTTTCAAAAATGCCGTTCTGTCTCTAACTTTCTGCATCAACCTCACACAGCCCCTACTTCGTACTATTTACTCTCTCCGCCCTCTCACTCTCTTATTCTGCTGTGCTCTCTCTCCCTCCTCTAACCAATTCCACCACTCTTTCCAAAACCCCAAAGGTATGTCACTTTCTCTCTCTACTACCTTCTCTCTCTAGCTTTTCCCCTCTACATTTCCTCTCTAGTTTCTGAAAATCTCTTGCTGCAGAGCCAGAGACACCATGATGTTTCTCTTCTAAGGAAAATGGGTAGTTGACCTCTATCCACCTCTCTACAAAGGAACCACCTGCTCCACCATTGAAGAAACCCAAAACTGCATGGCCAATGGCTGTCCTGACACAGGTAGCTCCACTGGAAATAGCATCCCTCTAATGGCAACTCTCTCCCCAAATTCAATCCCTCTCTCTTTCTATCTCTATTTCAGAACAAAAACGTAGCTTTCATTGAAGACTCAATAACCAATTGGAAATGGAGGTAATCACTAATCAGCTGGTCACTGGTTTCTTTACTTGGCTGTATACAATGGAGAGAGATAAGGTTTTGGGTGCCATTGTTGTCATGATCTCATTTCAATAGAGGTGGGTTTTTTTGGAGCTTATACTGAAGCTTTCATGGGGTTTCCAACGTGGATTGTTGAGAGAGAGTTTAAGGGGTTGTACTTTTTGAGGACTTTGTTGCCTGCCCAATTTGTAAGGTGAGTGGGATGAAGCAGGGGCATGTATGTAAACTTTGAAAACCTCATGTAAAGATATGCCAGTTGCTCTCAGCCATGACATTTCTGCGACAATAAGCAATGTAGTTGGAAAAGACTCCATGGTTGAACTATAAATAACCTGCCTTTCACTCTCCAACGATTTTCCCCAGCGTCTTGTTCTGAGCTCAGGAAGGATTGCACCGAGCATTGACACATGAAACCACTTACAAGATGGGGGTGATTTTAGCTTTCAGGTCTTCTATGCCAACTCAGTAGGCAATTGAGAATATGAAGGAGAAAACATAAGTAACCTATAATAACGGATAGCAAAGACTTTTATGTCACTGCATAAATGTCACTTCTTATTGTAAGAATAGGGGCTACAGCTTCTTTTTTTTTTCCTTCTCTGATCCTTTTTACATTTAGTCCTACGTTGCTTAAGCGAGAAATGGGTGGGTGGTGCGTCTAAAACAGAGAGAGGTTAGAGAGAGAATACAGCTCATTATATTATATTATTATACAATATAATATAATAATATATGTAAAATAACATCCACTATATTATCTGATATATAAAAAATATAATTGTATGGCATAATTTATAAATATAATATTGAATATTACAATAAACTATTATGTATTACATTGTATGATATTATAATATGCTTATCAGGATCGGATCGTGTAGGGTCAACCCAGACCAGAACCCAACCTACCAGGTCCAGAAGTTGAATCCCCCGCAGGTCGACCTAACCCCATTGAGAGCCCTATTCTTAGAATGCATTCCATGGCACTGTCAACCTTCGTTATATCATTTTAATCTAGCAGGTTACATGTTTGTCGTGTTGTGACCATCTCAAAACAGTTAAGTGACTAGTGAACAACATATTGCTTATCTCTAACAATGTTGCATTTTGTGGGAGAGGGTTGGTTGAGAGGTTTACCATGTGTCTACTATATTATGAATGTCCATACAATCAGCCAGTCCATTGTGTTCTTTGATAATTATTACCTCAAAAGGGAATTTGTCATTTCTGTGTGTAAACAATATACAAGGGACTAAATTGCATATTCATACATTCGTTATATCCTTTTCCCCTAAAAATCAGTCAACTCTATCCTAAATTGACAAAGGAATTTTTTCCCTACGGAAAAACCAGGTAACCATATTCATTTTCCAAAAGAACTACAGATCGGACATCTCAGGTTGGAAGGAAGATGTACCCAATGCTTTTCCGAATAGCACCGAATCAAGATATACATGTTCCTGGCATGGTAGAACTATCAGGGATCAGCACATATAGAGCTTTTCATTTTGCTGAAACCCAAAGTATATGAAGTTCTTGAGTTTGCAGCCATGTAATGAAGCTAAGGGGCCACTTCATCCCTCTTTGTGGTGAAGACAGAGATTATCTAGAGCCCCTGTCCGAATCGTCATCTTCCAGTCTTTTTCAGCTACAAAAGTTCTAACTGCCACAAATTAGCACTTTTCTCAGGTACAAGGATCAGCAGGGGCTCCAAGAGTTTGGACTGTCCCAGCCTCCTCTAAGATCCAGGCTTTTGGGTGGCTAGCAGTCTTGAACAAAGTCCTTACACTTGATGACATCCAAAACAGAGGCTTCTCATCACTGAATCAATGTATTATGTATAAGGACAGTGAGGAGACGGCCAATCATCTCTCTTTACTGCAGAACAGCCTCTAAAATTTGGGCCTTCTTCCCTGAACTTTGTGACTTGGCAGCAGGTCAACCTTGTTTCGGTTGTGAACCTTATATGTTCATGGCTCTCTCCTCCTTTATCAACCCCAGTGCTGCTCCTATGGAAGATGACAGTCCTAGCCATTGTATGGTGATGGTCAATGAGGCTGGAATGTAATTGCAGAATTTTCAAGTCCTCTTATCTTTGAACAGCATCCTTTATCGAGTGAATCAGAACCTCCATCATCTCATTTGGCTCTTTCATGAAAATAATTGAGCATCTACTTTTCGAAAGACCTGGTTACCCAATGGAAACAAATTATATACAGTTCTCATCTAATTCTCCCCCCAAATCCTCTGTACGGCTGCATCCACCCTTGGGGCAGTCAAAGTCAACTTTGACTGTAGTTCTAAGAAAAACCTGGGTCAGGCAGGCATAGGAGAAACCAATAGAAGGTACCAAGGTGAAACACTTCTCAACTACTCAGGGTCGATAGGCTTTACTGATGCCACTCATGAAAAAAAATGCTCTTTTTCTGGTCTCCACTGGTTCGAAAAAAAATTGGGACTCAAATATCCTCATTGAAGGTGACTCTGAGAACACTATTCGCTGTGCCACAGAGCTCTCCCCATGCCTGTGCAGATTATACCACTTGTACACACCCGCGAGAAGCAAATTTCTTAGTTGACATCCTAGCAAAGGAAGGGGTATCCCACACTAAATGTTTGTCAACCACCATTTAGACCATCCCCTGATCTGAGATGTTCCCTTCTTTTGTATAAACCCCACTTTATCTTTTGTAATTCTCTGAAATCATTAAAATTGTACATTATTTATTTATCAATACAAATGTTCATATACATTGTAATTGAAATGACTCTGTTAAGCACTTTTTGTTTCCTCCTTTTTTTGAATTGTTGAACATACATGTGATTGACTCTAATAGGCATCCATCGCAGATAACGATTACAGAAAGGAACCAGAACACTTACATCTCATAGACTCCAAATTTAGTTCCCTTTCCCTAACTATCAGCATGTGGTTCCAACAAAAAGTAATAAATAAGATGAATTCCAAACAATATTACAAAGAAGTTTCAAGGTTCATTAAAGAAACTAATAGATGCACATGGAAGAGTTAGAGCTTACGCATATGTCCTCACATTTGGCTGCAAGCGCTTGTGATCTTCAACCATCATTCCTAGCAATTCTGCAACATCTTGAACCCTGCATGTTCAACCATAAAGAACTAAGTTCAATAAACACAAAAACAACAAATATTCAAAAGCAAAGGACCATAATACCTTATTACATCAAATTAAAGCCAAATTACATGGGGATTATCAACAAAAAGCATGCATAGTTTCATTACTCTTTAGTGTTTACCAAATTGGGAATTTCAAATTTCATTCCAAAACTCATTGTGGGTCGTAGCCTTATTGTAAGTCCATATTAAGTAATTATTAACGGGCACATTTTATTTTTTTTGGGTAAGTATTGTTGACAAACACATTCAGAGTGACATTTAATAAATGCGATCCATTCATTTGCAGATGTAATCATTCATCACATAAACTAATAACTAGCAAATGGTTACTCTTACAGAATCACCGTGGCTCACAGCTATCACATCGAAAGGCCTCTACTTTGTCGAAATGAAAACTTGAATAACTAATATCAAAGAGTTGCCAATGAAAGATCAAGGAGTCACAGCCATCATACCAGAAGGCCTCTACTTCATCCACATGAAAGCTTGAATAGGTAATACTAAAGAGCTACAGATGGAAGATAGTTCCTCAATGAGTACTTGCATGAGTCAATATCAATGAGTAGTTGCTTCTTCCTTTATACAGAAGATTATCCACCCTAGACTAATAACTCATTTACAAAATAGTAACATGTGGATCCTTCCAAGATAAGTGATCTTTATGGGCAATTACTTAGATCAGGGTCTCGAACAAAGGAAAAGAGGGATCTAGATGGTTACTAGAATCTCTCGGCCCAGGTCACACTTCTGCTTTGGAATTGCGATTCGGTGATTCCAACAAGAAATCTTCATGTAACCGGTTTTTTTGAAGTCAGGAATCTCGATTCCAACTTTTTCCAAATCTTAATCCCAAGATGTGTAGAATCTCGATTCCAACTTTTTCAAATCTCAATTCTAACATTTACTGAATCTTGATTCCACATTTGTTAATTCCCAATCCTAGATATAATAAATCTCGTTTTGGTTGGTTTCAAAAAAAAAACGAATCTCGTTTTGGGGTTTTTTTTTAAATCTAGAATCCGCAACATCAAGTACCTTGGTTCATAGGCGCAAGAAACTACGATTCAGTCAACATGGAATCTTGCTTCCACCTTCATAAAATCTCAATCTGAGTTTTTTTTAAATCCTGATTCCACAAAATCAAGTATTGATGTTCATAGGTGCACAGAATTGTGATTCATTGAATGTAGAATCTCATCGCAAATATTTATGGATTCTGGTTTTCATTATTTGGAGAACATTGTTTCCCATGATTTATAGGTGCTCCAAATAATAATCCGATGAATGCAATGTTGAAGTATTTGTAGCATGAATCAATCATCAAATGCAAATATTTAGAGTTAAGTACTCAACATGTATAATTCTAATGTCTTTTGTGGGTAACAAAGGCAAGTATAACTAAGGCGTTGGAGCGTTAAAATCAAGAGAACTTGGTCCTTAGAGCACTAAAAATTAAATACTCCACATCTTCACCCTTATTATCACAAGGCACATAACACTCAATATGTAAAGTATTTCCACTACTTTTTTTATTATTTTTTTGGAGAACTGATGTTTACGATGTCAAAGCATATCTTTCTTGGAGAATTTAATGTTTACGATGTCAAAACATCAAATTGCTCGAGCTCAACACCAAATCTCAAGTAACAAGATGCAATTATCTTTTTGACAGCAAATGACAAATGACAACAAACTACAACACAGACAACACCATGGCACAGACAGTCATATTCTGAACTATAACAATGAAATCAAAATAACATTTTGAAAATTTATGAGACAATATTTGTATGTAGACAATTTTCTTGTTGGACTCGAGTGTCTATTGATTGACCTTACTTCTAATATTTTGTCTGAGGCTCAATAGTTAATAACTCAATACCATTATTAGAAAAACCAGGTGATCTAACAGCTAACCATCCGGTTAGATCAGAACCAGCCAGTGGCCGGTTCCGGTTTTAGCTGGTTTTGGTGATCGACCGGTTTTTAAAAAAAAATTCAAAAAAATGTATATAAATTCTCAAAAATAAGGAATTTGGTTTGTCAGGTATTTTTTTAATAATCTTTACATTATGGTAAAGATTAAAATTTGCTTTTGTCATTAATACTCACTTTAATTCAAAGATCGATTTGTTAAAATCTATTATTTTCATTAATTTTCAACTTCATTTCAATGTGTTTTGTTCTAATCATTCTTTATATGCTTTTCATATTTTAGTAGATTTTTTTTTTTTTGTATATTTTTTATTTTTTCAACACTTTTTTGACCGCTCGGGACTTGCCCGATTAGAATGATTGAATTGGCTGGTTTACCGGTTAGGCCGGTTAAACCAGGCCCATGTCCGCTAGTTCGATTTTGCAAACACTGCTCAATACATTGAGTTCATATCTACAGAAACCTTCTTCAGGTCTCGATTGCCATGTGGGTTGAAACTCGATTCCAAACTGATATGAATCTTGATTCCAAACTGGTATGAATCTTGACTCTAAATACATCAAAAACTCAATTCCAAAGATGTCATAATCACGATTCTATATATGAAAGAATCTCATTTCTATATGGGTTGATTCTAACTAGGTTAGAAACTCAATTCCAAAGCTGTCGGAATTTCAATTCCATGTATGTAGGGATCCTTATTCCAATTGGGTTGAAATTCGATTACTATAAAGTAGGAATCTCATTTATTGTGATTCCCCTTGGACATTGATTCTGAAAACACGAATCTTCTATCCAACCGCAATTCCGTGATTCCGATTTCTAAAACAATTTGAGATCTCAAGTGTTTCCAACAACTATGATTATGATCTAGATCTTCAAGCTATGCACATGTCTCGAATCATTGGATGACACCATATGCCCCATAACAAGATCTATTCATCATTCTCCACATGCATTTCGGAAACGAATATATAAATATCCCATTTGAGGTTTTATTATAGGCATATAAAAGGTTGCAACCTTAAAATGCAGAATTAAGGTGGACCTCAAAAATCCATCTAAGAAGGTCGTTTTGATGTTGGAAAACCCTTTAATTGTTCATCTCGACATCGAGATGTATGAATATTGAAAAAAAAAAAAAAAACATTTATAGTCCCAAAAATAGTGCATCTTGCAACACTTTATCTGAACCGTCCATTTTCATGATTTTCGTGTGTTTATACATCTATGTGATTTCAAGCATTTTTGGAGTTTAGAGTTTCATAATTAGAAAAGAAAGTGGATTCTCCAGCCATCCTAAAAAATTTTGACACCAAAATTACACTTATGATACAATTTGGAGATGCGCCTTAATTTGATTGTTTAAAATTGCAACCTTATGCAAACCACACCCTTTATCATATCTATCTATTAATGTGTGTAATGTATCTCTATGATGTTCTATAATTATTAAAATCTCAATCTTGTTTTGTTGAGAAAGTGAGGTTCAAAAGCAGCCAAGATTGAACCATCTGTACCATTCAAGATCACCCGCTCTGCTCTGAATTATTTTCCAATCACAAACCTTGTCAGTGATATCTTCCCCTAAGCCGATCATAGGATCAGTTTTCTGTAAACATGATTAATTTAACAAATCCAGTCCATTACTAAGTTTCTATCTACACAAGAGAGAGCTATATACTCTCACAAAGTGGAATTTGTTGTATTCGACGTCATACCATAATCCAATTTCTGATATGCAAGCAACTCAAGCTCGTTTCTCTAATTGATATTAACACAACAAGAAAACATCATCTCTCAAAAAGCATCAATACATCTAGTCGAGGATATAGATAAAGCAGTTCCAATCACAATCCCGCCAGCATGATGAAAAATGCAACAATCACTATTGAGATGTCCACCTTTCAAGCTAAATCCAAATGTTATCGATGACTCTACCATGTTGTACAAGTGACATGATTTTAACGCCAAATCTTATGGAGGAGAAGAGCCAATACAAATTTGTGACAGCTTTAGCTTTGATTGCCATCCATCCCAAGTAGCATCTCGGACGCCGCCAAAATCTAGATCATCAACATGCCAAGGTCTAGCCCCAACTTATTTGGCAGAACAATAACATCTAAGTTCCACTTGGCCCTTAACACTTGGAAAGACACAAATGAAAACCATATTTATGCATAATGATATCCATGGATTATCCCGCATCCCTATTGACAGTACGGCATTATCCTACCTTACGTCGTCCATGCTATGCGCTTGTCCATAAGATTGAGATACAAAAGCAAGATTATATATATATATATATATAACTTGTCTCCATCTCGTTATAATAAAATGAAACCACTCTTTTAAACAACCACATTTGTATGAACTCAAAATTTCAAACTTACACTCTCTTCATTCCAACAATCACTGCCAAAAAGAAAAAGTTGAATTTGCATCCTAGAAAAAAATCAAAGTGAGTCACTCTCCAACAATCAATCTAGATCGTCCATTTGGTGGACATTGAGCTCTAGGCCTTTAAGAACTCCAAATAGATTTTTTCTTTTTTAGAGTTCCACACCTACTGTCTATAAACCATCAACATAATTTGGGTTTAGAAAAGAGGCTCTCTAAGGCCTAGATCTAATCATCCCATCAAACGGATGGCATGTGTTTATTGGGTTAAAAAAAGTAATTTTGATGGTGTTCTCAAATTTTGCTTTTTTGAGATTTGTCAACATAGTGAATTGATTTTATGGTTTTTAAAGGCGCAATTTTACTATATTACTATACACACACACGTGGACACACACACACACACAGATGCACACACATGCCTGTTCATATCCAAATTCCGTTCATTTGGCAGAAGCCCATCATGCACCACGATGTTCAAAGTTGATAACATTTGCCACTATAATAATTGTTAGGAGAAAGGGTCGCTGCAAGCATGAAACTATCTAGTCTAGTTTGTGCTTCAGCTGAGGATTTACTCTCAGGAGACAAAGATCCAAAGTTAACAACTACTATCTGATATAAGCAAAATAAACATGCAGGATATAGAACAATAAGGGTAAATGCAAAAAATCTGATATGTAGCAATTCTTCACACAGCCCAAAATTCAAAAGGTCCCGTTATGGATGCAAGTACCAATTTACTAGAAAATAGTAAAATAAAAATAGATTTCACATTGAATAAGACTTAATTCAAAATAGAAAGGAAAACAAGTGCAGAAACAATTAAGGCTTCCAAGATAACATTATTGTAGTAGAACATGAAACGCATAATTTTACCCTATCTAGATTTAGGTATAACAGGCAATTTTACAAATCAACATCGAAGGAAAATAAATTTCCAGTTACAGGACTAAACTTTCAGAAAAGATAAAATAGGACCCATAATAATCAATAAATAAAGAAACTAAAAGCTGTCTGATGTCGTTTTTTCTGGGATATGCTAAAATTAATAAAGGATGTACAACGTCCTGTTGAAAGAAATCATAACCATGAAACCTACCTATCATAGGATTCAGCTCTAGTGTATGCTTGAATCACCCAATTGTAACTCTCTGTATCAGGTTTCATGAAATCTGCAAAAACATATTACTCATGAAGACCATTATAATCATAAAAAGGGGGATACCCAAACCTTCATCACGACCCTCCTAATTTTAAAAGGAGAATATAATTGCTTCTTTGTTTGTGGAACATAAATATATGACACAAGAAATTAACAAGTACAAAAGAGAGTATACAATCTCTATATTCAGAATATAAGGCAGCCATCTTCTTAATAGCTACCACAAATTTTGAAGGAAAACATGGCCACCACAACTTTTGAAGGAAAAGGTTTCTGACCACCACTTTGATCAATAAAGGAAGTCAAAGCGGTGACAAGAGACAACTTTCCAGAAAAACTTTCCCTAAACGTCAGAAGATCATTGCTCCAATTTAGATCAAAATCAGTGAGCCAATTAGCCAACCAATTGCTTATCTATGGGAATAGCAGAACATATTCATACTTGCCTTGCTACTAGATGAACAATGGAAGCTCTTGTCCTGGATAGTCATAAAAACGAGCCAGCATGCACAAACTAGACAAATGTTGATGTATATAACAAAATCCAACAGAAATAATGAAGGCACATATTCTTTTTAATGCTTGAAGGATTTATTAGGAGAATAAAAGAAAGAGTAGAAAAATGAATGGGACTAGAATGGAGAGCAGTGTCCAACACCCAAATCCATCACTACAACATTTTTTTCAGTGAACCATCCTTTATTGATTTCACATCACCCAGATCACCTATTAGTGAGTTTAAATGGGTTATAATTCTAACATTGAATGTACAAGTTCATATAAAAGCTATGAGGCTATCCATGCCTACTTGTTTTATGAGCTACCCAGAGCTAGGATAGGAACTATCCAAAGGGTCCTATTGCTGCGGGGATCAACTTGCGGAGGCTCTTCATGAGCCATGATCAACGTCGCACTCTCATCTGGAGCTGTTACCTTGCACTCCAGCACCAAAAAAACCCTCATGTTTCTATGTTGTGAGAGTACGCAACATACGTTACTCAATTGAGTTATGAGCTTCCTTAGAATGCCACCACTCTTTGTAGCTATCTTACATCTCATTGGAGTTCCTTCAATAGTCATAAAAACTTGGTCAAGATCATATAGTGCCAAAGCTTCCTCTCATGTTGAGTATGTAGAGCTAAAAGAGCCATAAAATGGATCATGAAAACTTCAACTCAATCTGTAACAATTGCCCTAACATATGCAGATCAAACGATTGCTTTCATAGCACCCATCATAATCAGGTATAGGGAAATGATAGTTATCATCATTCATGTGTTATTTCTGTTCATTCGGATCTTTTGAACACCTCACTCATCACTTCTTTTGTTTCTAAAAAATATGACTATCTACCCATGCATGTCCTACAAAGGACTGTAGTGAAACTTGTAGAATAACGTGCCCAAAACAGTAATGACCCCCTTCTATTCCAATCGCCAATGTTCATTCTTCAAAAAACTTATGTATCAACTCTATCTTAGAGGGGGAAAAAAAAAAAGAACCAGAGCAAACACAGGAGATCACACATGGCCCCTTCTTTTTTACATGAAATTGCAATGGAGAAGGTGGTCAACCTTTCCCTACAAATAAAGCTAGGGAAAAGGAAGGCTTTATTTTACTTATGATCAAATGATCAAGACAAGTATTTTGTCACTAAGAGCTCACCAGAAGAAAGTAAACAACCATGAAGGTAGAGTAGAAGAGGATGGCCAGGAGTGTTATTGCAATTCACAAAATCCTCAACTGCTTCATCTCCTCATCGATGAGAGTCATTCTCGGGGGGGCATGCCAGTTCACTAGCTCAACAACCTGGGCATTCTCTCACTTCAGGCACTTCAATATTTTTGCAAAAATCCTCAGGAAGGGATTGCCCACTGTATCCTCCCCAAACCATTAGTTGCTTCAAAAATGTGCATGCCCTCCATATTTCATACTAGCACCTTCATTTAACTCCCCAGCCAATGCTTTCACAGTCATCCAAGCCCCATAAACCATCCCAGGACCTCTTTAGCATCCTTCGAAGTCTGTTCGCCATGCTGCACACTATTGCTCGGGAGCACCAAAGATGTGATATCAGATGCTCCTCCATTAGGCTAAGGCTTATAGAGGATAGACACCCTTCTACTTGTGTAGATGACAACTTTACTTCGTCCCTCCACTCAATAAGAAATCTCATGATGACTTCTAAAACATCTTGAGGACCTTGAAACATCGAGAAGATGGAAACATTTCCAGACCTCCTCCTCCATAATATATACCTCATTAACTTCACAACTTTGCAAACCCAATGAGGATCCATTTCTTCACCTCTCCACACAATTGTGACTTTTCAAACATCTTGAAGACCTTGAGGACATTGAGAAGATGAAAACATTTCCAGTCGTCCTCCCCTCCATAATATATATCTAGGTAACTTTCTGACCATGGGAACCCATTGAGGACTACCATGGGAAGGTATAGCCTCCAGAAGGTTAATCCTGCCCTCAAGCAGAAACTTTCCTTTCCATATTGCAGGGCCTTTTTTTTTCTTCTTGTAAATGCCTTCTCAAATATGGGCTCCCTCAGTTGATCCAAACTAAAAGGAAATCCTGCCCTCAAGCAGAAACTTTCCTTTCCATCGTGCAGGGCCTTTTTTTTTCTTCTTTTAAATGCCTTCTCAAATATGGGCTCCCTCAGTTGATCCAAACACAAAGGAAAGCTATGATGACTGGACTGGTAGATTTTTCAAAACCACCCTCCAAACTCCATAGTTTATGCACATGAATCAGAATCTCATTATTTACCTGGACTCTTGAGATTTTTATTTTTACTTATTACAATTTTGACCAATACTACTTAGGATACGTAAAGATATTTATAATATTTTTTCTATACTGAAGCATCTTCAAAAACTACTGTATCTAGATGGATGCTTTACACCAATAACCTCCAACAAAACCCAGCTCCAATAGCGTTTACTAAAAATAACAATCAAAGATCCTGCTAACATAGCATTTAAAAAATGGTATGCGAGAGAGAGAGAGTCAATAACTCTTAAGCCCCCTTCCTTCTTGATAGAAAAGCTAACAGAGAACCATCAAATCTAACCCCACCGTCATCCATGAAACCTAGCCTGTGGGGCATTTATATATGGAAAAAAATGCACACAATCATGTATTTTCCCAAATTCAACTTTCATGTATGTGCTGTTCGCATTGTTTGACTCTAGAATTCAATAGTCGCAAAAACACATGCATTATTGCGAAATAAACAAGATGGTTAAGTCCACAAAAATGAAAAGCTTATGTTCAAACAAGACAAATCCTCCAATGATGAATTCCTTATGGCCTTTAAATTAATAAGCAGACAAGATTGAGATAGTTGCCATGCACTTGTATATTAACATGGAAACAAAGACTCTATGGCAGCATGTTAAAATCTGCTTGCTTTGAAACTAATTTACAAGAGAGTTTTCTCTTCCCTCAACCAAAACTCATTCATATCTGAATGACACCTACCACCCTCTAAAGCTTCCTAATACTTCAAGTTACTTATAATGAGTAACTATGGTGTTTGAAGAACATCAATCACTGGATATTAACCTCCTTAAAAAAAAAAACACATCACATTTACCTCATTTTGTTAACCACGTTAAAGATAATGGTAAATGAGAAAATATATACACAAGGGACATTTTCACTGATGCATACAAAAGAGAAAATAAAAGAAGAAAAGAAAACCTTCTCCTCCATATTCCATGTTTTCAAATGTTGCAAAGGCTATTTCTGGAATCCCACAAGTTGCCTACAAAATAAAATCAAGACGTAAGTAAATTATAGATGCCTTCAGCATAACAAAAAACATTCCGTTTGAAAAAGCACTGCCCAAGTTATAAAAAATTGTTAATGTTTGTCATTCATGAAGAACTTTAGGAAACACTTTGTCAAGCAAAAATATGAGACCAAGAGTTCATAACAAGGTTCCACAACATTTTTCACAGTTCACACCACAAGGAAACCTAAGGTAAGATCAAAACAGAAAAAGAATAGGAAAACCATTCTCAAATACTTCAATAAGTTAAACAAATCAAGTTTAGTACCAAACTTGAGCATAATTAATTTCAGTAAGTAACACAATAATATGATCAAACAGGGATATATTTAATATTCTTCTGGTTTACTTGTGATCGAAGAGATATCCCTATCTAAGGCTGCTATGGAAAACACACGCTGATTTGGAGTTATTAAAATAACAGCGCAACAATAGTATTTATTTTCATCAAAAAGGTAAAAGGGGATATGGGTTTCAAACATTTAATTTTCAATAAAATAAAGATTTTACCAATTTGGATTAAAGATCAGGAATAAGGAACCGAATATGGATTGCCGAGCAATTCCATACATCTCCTGAAATCAAATTGGGGCGACCTGCAAGCAATTAATCCTAAACAAGAAATAAAAAAAGAGAAGTATACCCCTCTATCCATCTTACTTGTACACTAAGAAGACAGTTAAAATGGAACGTAGTTGCCATTCTTCCTGCCGCCTCCATTTCATAAGCAACAGTTAAAGCGTTGGAATGATCGCCAGCTTTACAATCCTCCTCAATAAGAAGATCATAGAGTTCATCAGTGGCTCTTAATCCTCCTTCTGCACCCCTCAAGAATACCTTGTTTGCATTGTCGAGATGACCATTTCGAATTAGCTCCTCTGCTCACCAACAGCATTATATTATATTACATGAAAACATCAGTATAAAAAGACTAAAGCCTCGCTTTCTCTTACACAAATTCATATAGTGTACGGAGTTAGCTAACAGGAACTCACCAATAAGTGTTAGCCATGCCTTGCGGATGTCATAGTTCAACTTCTCCATGGCAGCAAGAATTTCCTGACCTTTAACTGAGAGGCCTTTCGAGCCAAACAAGTGAATCAATGCAATGAAAGTTTCATGTAGTGGGCGATGACCAGCACTTAGTTCCATACGTAAGGATTGCATCTGCAATGATTCGAAAGTTACGTTAGATGCACTCAGAAAATGGATGTCATATTTTATAATGTTCAATTCTTTACCAACAGGCATGCATATGTTCGCCATTGAAGGAAAATAATTACCAATGGCAGCCATTTTCTAAAATTCTAGCATAATCTTCAGTTTTTCAAGCCAAACTCCAAGGACGGCAGGAGTCATTTGTACAAGACTGTATACTGGCGTCTACAAGCACCATCACGTGGAAATTGGATAAATAGTTGCAAAAGATGTTATATATCATAGAGTGTGGGTGAAAATGGAAGAGTTGGGTGCTGGAACTTTATCCCATCATTCACTTAGAAAAAGATTCCATAAATTAGGTAGCTTTCTGTATTTTTTACCAAATTACTTATTCCTTAAGTTGGTTGTCTTTCTTGTCTTTTAAAAACTGGTTTACTACCTACAAAATAGATAGAGAAATGTATGTAATGTTTTAGAATGTGTGCCAATTACCAACTAGAATATTCACTCATCCTCTTGAGCTAAAATTAACTATCTTACCTCAAACCAATCATCCAGGAAACTTCAATAGTAAGGAAGTCATATGGTTCTTTCATATCGAACATCCTCCAAAAATGCAGTAACATCCAAATCGTTTTGAGTACGAATTTCAGCAACACAAGCGATGAAATGGTTTCCAATTTCCACAAAAAGAAAGAAGAATATGAAGAACTCAAGAAAAGCTCTAATGCATCCAAAAGAGATCAAGATAGGAAGATAGAGCACTATTTTTAGGAATGGGAAGAAATCCTCTTATTTTTTAAGTCAAGATTAGGTTAATATACAATGTCAGAGATTACATAGTCCATCCTTAGCCAATGTTTCTCATTTGTTTCATATGTTCATTCGATAGAATTGGATTTGGATGGGTAAGAAATCTTCTAATTTCTTTTTCAGGGCATTAGTTTAGTTTTGCTACCCCCCTCTCAGGCATGCGTGTGTGCGTGTGTGTGTGTGTGGGGGGGGTGGGGGGGGGGGTTGGGACAAAGAGTAGAAAGGAGAAGAATATTGGTTTTAGAGACTCACAAAGATTTGTTTGTGGGGCAGATTCCCTTGCAGACAATGAGAGAGTTCAAAATCTCTGGGTGTTCATTTATTTTACAGAAGCTTGTTTGCTTTCACCGTTGGTCTGCATGAAGTGGTATTAGGGCACCAGTCCAATAGCAAAATGCTGTTAAAGCCACCTTCCATGACTGCTGACATGTTGTGAAAAACTCATAGCCCACATGGTTGAAGCCCTAGGCAGTGTTTGAGGAGAAATCAGAGAGCTTTGGGGACAGATCAGAGAACTAGGTCCACATTTGGAATGGTTAGAAAAACACAGTCACGGAAAAGAGGGTGCCCGTACTTCAGTTAATCCGCCACCAAATCCCAACCTAGAGATCAATCAAGCTTCTCAATTGACAGTGGTAGCTAATCCTGTAGCATATAATGAGAAGATTCTAAAGCACGAGCCACATCCTATAGTGCATACTCGAGACCTCGGAATCAAGGTCGATCTCCCCAAGTTTCATAGTATGCTCCACGTCGAAAAATGTATTGCTTGGTGGGGTTTGGTAGATGAGTTCTTTGAACGGAGTGAAATGGTGAAGAAGCATAAAATCAAAACTCTTTGCAACCAAGTCGCGTGGTTGTGCGACATCTTGGTTGGAACAAGTTCAACAATCTGAACTACACAAAGGTGAAAATTAATGATTGGAATTAGACGAAGAAGAAGTTGAAAGAAAACTTTCCTCCTATAGATCATGACCAAATTTTCTTCCAAGACCTCCAAAATCTCCAACAAAGTGAGAAGAACGTAGAGGACTATAAGGGGCAATTTTATAAGCTTGTGGATGCGAACAACTAATGAAGGTCAAAAGGTTGCCCAATATGTTCATGTGCTTTAAACATCCATTATAGATGAGACCTTCCTACACCGGCCATGACCTTAAGTGAGGATTTACAAATGTTCAATATGAGTGGAGGCCAAAATACAATGGAGCCCTGGTAAGTGGTTCCTTAACCACCCAAAATTTAGCTAAGAAAAGAAAGAAAACGATCAAGTAGGTTCCCCCACATTGCTTGTTATCAGTGTAATGGAACAAGATATTGAGCTTATTAGTCCCTAGAGAAGAGGATGAGATACCCTTGGCTAAAACACCTGATAGAATCAACGAAGAAGATAAGTATCTAGAACTACAATAGAAGAAAGATAGTCATTAATTCCAGTTTTGCATCTACAACCTCGAGGACGAGCTTCTCCAAACCCCAGGAGAGTGAGATAGGAAGATAAAGGATTTACTTTTGGAAGTTATGAGAGTACTTTAAGAATAGGATATTAACTTTTAAGTCATAGTTAATATTTGTACTTTATTTAATATTTTGCTCGGATAGGGTTGGATTTGTATAGGTAAGAAATATTAGGATTTATTTTTTGGATGGGGTTTTAGCGCATTAGCCGAAAACCTACTCATCTCCTTCAAATATTCATACTAGACATGAATTCTCGACCTAAAAATTTCATATGTCAGTAACTTGACCACCATGATCATGAATCTGATAAAAAGGGAATATTGAACCTTAGGATAAGACTATTTTAAATTTTTCTTTTAAACTGTTCGCCACCGTTCATGTTATTTCCTCCCAGATCATCAAATCTGCACTATTTTTTGGGCTGAAAAATCATGGATCTAAAGCAGAAATGCATCTAGAGTTACTTGGGTTGTGTTTCAATCCCAAGTCCATCTCTACGATGGATTCTTGGAAGGGATGCCATTTGAATAGACACTCATCTAAAGTTTTCCTTACTTTTTTCACTATTGGGTTTCACTTGAAGCACATATAGGGCCAGGGTTTATCTCTACTTTTTTTCCTTTATACATGCAAGTGTTGGACAATCAAGAGAATATCGGAGACTATTGGTTTTTCAGAGAGTTGTGGAGAGTTATGTTTTGGGTGAATTCCCTTGCAGGCACTTAGAGAGAGCATAATATCTTAATGCTCTTCTATTTTTCTTAAGTTTATTTGCTTTCTCCCTCTGTGTTGTGTCAAGTTCATTTCAGAAAGAAAAAAAAAAAAAGACCATAATACAATTCCAGAAACCGAAACCAATTCCAAATCTAAAACACCATTACCCAACAAACAACCTCATCCAACACAAAATCCGAATCCAAACCATAAACATAAAACCCAATAACACAGAATTATGCAAAAACAGAAAAAGTTGCAAAACCAAAAATGAAACAGCAAGGTATAAGAATTTACCGCTCCTTCTTCATCACCATTAAGAACTTGAGAAACAATGAGACCATGGAAAGACCTAGGGCCCGGGCTTAACCCTGCAGCCACCATATCACGCAAAACTTCAGCTGTTCCAGCTGCATCACCAGCTCTGGCCCTGTCCATTAAAGCCTCCATGAAAGCAAACCTAAGCCCTCTCTCCACTGATGAAGAAACAGAAGAATCATCCTCTTTAAATTGGGATTTCTTCCTCCTACTACTTCTCTTCTCCTCCACTTTGGAGCCTCTGGTTGGCAGCATGGCAAAAGCGTTTCCAGGTGTTTTTCTTGGGTATAAGAGAGGAGAATTATTCATAGAAATGGGAGTTAGGATGTGTGAGTGTTTGCTAGGAGGTGGCATGGGATGATGGTTGGGAAGGAGAGCTGCCATTTAGTTTTCCTCTCTCTCTTATCCGGTTGCAGAGGGTGGCGGGGGAGTCTTTTTGTTTAAATAGTGTGAAGAGGGAGTGAGAAGCGAGAAGTTCCCTTGAAAAACCGCCCCTAAATGTTACTTAAATACCTAATCTTACGCTGCAACGGCTCCTTGCATAAGTGAGCCTTCGTTTTAAAACCTGGATCCGAGGGACGGATCTTGTATCATATCATTGGATCAGCCATCAAACCCGGATCGGTGGGGTGGATCATTTATCAAAAAAATTGTATCTAACTATTGGGATCAGCAATCCAAATAAGGTCTGAATATCTATTCTTGATCCATAAAAATTAAAAATAAATAAAATCAAACCCGGATCAGTGGGGAGGATCATTTATCAAAAAAATTGTATCAACTATTGGGATCAGCAATCCAAATAAGGTCTGAATATATCTATTCTTGATCCACAAAAATTAAAAATAAATAAAATAAAATATAAAAAAAATCACGGGAAGGGGATTTAAGGGACTTAAGGAAACATAAACCAAGCTTAAAAAAAGAAATAATATATATATATAAGAGGAAAGATTTTGGGAGTAACTGAGATGGAACAATACTATCCCATAACTAGTTTGTTCCCTAGTGATACCCATCTAAATTGGCTATCTAAATCTCAATTGGCTATCTAAATCGAAAATCGATGGGTTTTAAAACAATTAGTGACCCCTTACTTCCTTTTTGTGGGATATATCTTTGTCTACTAACTTTGGCCAAGGGTTTTAAGACCTAGCGATCCATTTCAAACGGGTCACTAATTGGCCATACCTAACCTACTCGATCCTTCTCCTAAAACTCCTTCAATATTTCTTTCTTTTGTCTCTTTCTTTGGTCCCCCTAGATTGGCAATCCGGCCATCTAACATGTATTTGTGAGGTGGACGATCCACCCCATCAATCCATGTTTGAAACATTGCTTTAACCCTCGAAGAGAGAGAGCATCCCAAAGATAGTGCTTCCAGAGAAACAGAAATTTATTCAAAGAAAAGCTATCACACATAAGAAAGCACTTTGATGGATTTTGAGTAGAGCACTTTTGTGACTCTGCTGATGTTAAGATACAGAAGAATGCACACATCGTATACAACTTTCAGGGAAATGTCTCTTAGAATTTTAAGAGAAAAATAAGTTGCTTTGGATCATGAAGTGCTATAGGAAATGTCTCTTAGAATTTTAATAGAATTTTAAGAGAGAGTGAGTTGCTTTGAATCATGACGTGCTATAGGAAGCATTTACTATGAATCTGTTAGGGAAATCATATATTAATATATCATAGACAACCTGGAATCGTTGCTGTATACAGCGTTCATATTTTCAGTGGATATATCAATATACAGGTTTCTCAGTGAAACATGAGATTCTTTCATGGTTTCAGAGCCATATACCATATTCTCCCTGTTCTTATTTACTAGATTATAATATTATGTAATTGCCTAAACCCGCCTGTGCTTGTCTAGAATCCGTTTGTAGATCCACTATTTTGTGGCTGTTGAATCAATCTTGGATCTTGTTGATTCGGTATCTGATTTGCACCATCAGAAACCAGCAAGGTTGTTGATCAGTTTTGGACATTGCTAATCCAAAGTAGTGAGGCTGCTGATTGGTCTGTATTCCTATCGATCCAAGCTCCGATTTGCATGTCGAGCCAATCAAAATTTCATCATCTGGCGACTGCTTTTCAGCTCTGGGCTCTTTCAGGCTCTTCTGATTCATTCAATTCTTTCTTTTTCAATGATCTCATCAAGGTTGGCCTTTCTATCTCATAATTAGCTTGTGGCCCTTTCTCTCTCATAACTGGCCCTCGACTTAACCAACAATACCTAACTTTGGCTTTTAAAGTTGGAAAAAGTTTATATAGACCCAAGGCTCTAAACAATCAAATTAAAGCCCATCTCAAAGATTTCACTAGAAGAGTTGTTTTGATGCCCAAATATCATCAAATTGATCATCTCGATATCGAGATACATGGACATGAGCAAAAAAAATGGATTTCAAGTTTTGAAAATAGTGCATCTTATAACCCATTTTTGGACTGTCAATTTTCAAGTTTTCATAGATCTGCACGATCTACACTATTTTTTAAGCATTAAAGTTTATAATTGAAGATGAAAATATATTTTAAGGCTATCACAAATATTTCCAATATTGAAACCACATTTCTTGATACTATTTGAAGGTGCGCTTACTTTGATTGTTCAAGCCTCGGTTCCATACAAACCGCACCTGATCGAACAAAGTTGTGGTGAAATTGTGTTGCAACTAATCATTTGTGGTCCCCCAGTTCAAGCTTTCGAGTGCTTTATGTGAGACTCTGAAAGAAGTGAGATTTTCTCGAGATTAGAGGTAAAGAGAGAGAGAAGAGAAAGAAAATCGGTATCATACAAGTAAGGAGCACGAACTCAACAAACTTAGGCCCCCTCTTTTGATGTGCTGAGGTGTTGAAATTGAAGGTGCACTTCTTATGAGCCAAGGAGGAAGAAAACAGATTAGTCCATGTGAGAATTGAATTTGCACCACAAATATTCATTTTGTCATGATTTTGCCATAGTTGGATTTGATGGCCTCTTCTGATTCAGTTCGATCCATCACTATCACAGTGGATTGAACTATGAACTAAATCATTGGTTCTATCTTATGGAAAGTTTTTTTAAAGGAAAATGACTATGAAATAATATGGAAAGTTTTTTTGAAGGAAAATGACTATGAAATAATACTACTGCCCTGACAAATAATGTCCCAAAGCATATGATACATTAAAGGGGATGATTTGGAGTTTAAGTTAAAAGAATGGGATATTAAAAATTAGACAATTATTTTGTGGATTGTCTACTCTGTCATGCTCTCAATCAATATAAAACTTGAAAAATTTAAAACCGCCAAAAAGACATGGAACTTTCTTGCCTCACAGTATTTCCTGATAAAGAGCTATGAGGCAAAACTAAAGATGATCAGTCTCCTAACTTTCACTCTCAAATATCAGTTATTTAAGATCAGTTGGCCTTAATAGAACTCAAGTGGACCGCTGACATAACATTGGTCCCGGTTTCTATGCAGCCAAGCCTGCATGTGAAGAAATGCGGGCTTCTTAATAAATCTATTTTTGAGGTGGATTTTAAGGCTTACTTTGTAAGGACATGTAATCTCTAACATGGAGATTATGAATATGAAAAAATAAATAAGTTCTAAAAACTAGAAATAATAATTCTAGTAAGAAAACATTTGGACCGTTAGTTTCCATTGTTTTCAGATGGAACACCTACTTGCATCCATCTTTCAGATGGAACACCCGTTTTAATCCTAGAGGCATACTAGAGAACGAAATCAAGGCAGCAACACCTACTTGCATTCATTCGAAGTGGTTCATGCCAAATTGTCTTTGATACTTGGTCATTGGTTCTCATCTAATGCACCATAATTTCAATTCAGTTTCCTGTCCGAGTATATTTCACAATAGAGATATAAAACAAAATACCTCATTTTTCCAAAATCTAAATCCTTAGCTTTGTGTAGTATCAACCATATTGACTAGTTACATGCACCCATAAAAACTTATCTGGGTTTTCATCAAGGTCCTCAAAAAAATTCAAGATCTACATATAAAGGACGGGTGGCCTCACACCGACGTGCGCCATCAAAAGACATGGATTCTTATGACCATTTTACATGACTTTCATCGATCATGAATTCCTGCCTCCAGTTTTGAATCATTATTTTTCTTCTTTTGGATGGATTGGCTCAACTTAACAATGAAATAGTAGATCTAAGATGTTAGCTCCTAGTTTTCAATAGTTCCTTCGTTGATTAGCAAAAGTTACAGTTGTTAAAAATAATGATACAGTGCAAGTTAGATGGAAGAATCAACACTCTCAAAGTTCCTTAGCAAGGCATAAATCTTTTTTGATTGTGGGTGAGATCTATCTGCCATACAGAAAGTGTGAACCTTGTTTCCAATTTTAATCTAACTAAACCCACTTCTCTTCTTCAAACCTTTATCCCTGATTACAGTCCTTAACTTAGCAACATCGCTCCATCATCCTTCCTCCGCATATATATATGTGACATCATCACATAATATCCAGCTTCATTTCCCTCATCGTCGCACTCAAAGACATGCTTCGACGCAATTTCAGCAAGCTCCACATTATTATGAACCTTGCATGCACTTAGAAAAACACCCCAAACATCTCTATGAGGCACAAATGGCATGCTCTTTATAAATTCATATGCTGCTTCTAACTTTCCGGCTCGCCCCAATATATCAACCATACAAGCATAATGTTCTCGAGAAGGCTGAATCTTGTACTCAAGAATCATGGAATTATAACAATCTTGGCCTTCATCCACCATACCAGCATGACTACAAGCCGAGAGTAGAGAAACGAATGTGATCTCATTTGGTGCCACATTATGCAATTTCATATTATTAAAGAGTTTTAGAGCTTCTTCACAGTTGCCATTGATTCCATAACCAACAATAAGGGCATTCCAAAGAAGCTAGCCGAAGGCAAGCATCCACACTTGGCATATATGTCTATAAGAGAACTAACCACATAGAGATCCAATTCAAAGCTTCTTCGAAGTATATAAGCATGAACCTCCATACCCAATTGAAGAATTGCAGAGTGAGAACAAGCAGGTAACAACATGCACATGGTAACTTTGTCAGGTTCCACACCGTGAAGCAGCATTCGACGAAACAACAAAAATCCATAACTGATAAGCCCCCCTCAGACACAACCAGATATCAATGTATTCCAGGTTACCAAATTGGCCTCTATTCCTTTGGCTCCCATCTCTAACAGCAAGTTAAGTGCACATTCATGATCCCCAATATGCAAGTAACCAGAGATTAAGACTGTCCATAAGAATATGTCTCCATGAGAAACTTTGTTAAACACAAGATGAGCACACTCAATTTTATGGCATTTTGCATACATTTCAACCAACGAAGTGGCTAAATAGAGGTCATAATCATATCCAAAAACCAGAATATGAGCATGAACTAGCTTCCCCAAATGCAAGGCTCTCAAACCAATACAAGCTTTAACAATGAAGCTTAAAGTGAATTGGTCAGGTAAGATGCCACCAGAAACCATCTGGAGATATAAAACCATTGCTGCATGGTGTTGTTCTTGTTCAATGTATGCTTTTAACATGCAATTATAAGCATAAATGGTTTGTTTCAACAATCGATCAAACATGGTTCGTGCATCCAACGCCCTGATCGGCTTGCTCGCCAGGACCGATTTGCAAGATAAATGGGTAACTAGAATCTGGCTATGAACCATTTGGACCTCTGATATGGAATTCGCTTTCAAAATGGACTGTAAAATACACTCGTAGGAATTAAAAGGGCTTTCACGTTCATTGTAAATTATGCTGATTTCGGTTCTTGAATTCAAGAAATTGAGATTTTCCGCCTCCTAAAATAGTAGAAATCTGCTCTGTCTCCAGTATCCCACCAAATTTAGGGAACAATTCTTGATCATTAAAAACAACTGTATAGAAGGTAGAAACCTGAAATTGAAAATCTTCTTTTGATTGCGAAATTGATGAGCTTTTCTGTAAGCAGGATGATACGCATTCCTTGAATCTTATTATGACCTTCAAGACGCTATTTTTTATCATTAGAAGCTGAAACCTGCAATTGAGATTTTCCACTGATTCAAAATTGATTGCACGTCCTCCATTTGAACCCCAACTCAAGTTTAATAATATCTCCTTTACCCTTTCTTGTCTACAACTTCTTTCCTTTCCTCGATATCCTAGCATACCCACGTAAAACAATGCTTCGTTCTATTACACAACGAGCAAACGCACTTCTGCTTATAGGAAAAGAGCCTGACCTTAATTGGTTGGCACGTAACGATTTAGAAGGCTACGTCCTAGGCTCAATTCTCAATTCTCAATCCCTACCATGAGCAGAGCAGAGGCCCTATCCACATTGACTCACCCCAAAAAAAAATGATACTTACGGTCCCATGAAAATATGGATCACGTATATTTTTCTAGGCCAATTTCTCAAAAACAAGAAAAACATGCTACCCTGCTCAAACCATTTGGAGCACAAACCAAGCATTATTTGCCAAGGCACATGCACATATGAAAGGCCAAGATAGATTTGGGCTGCTATGCTCCACCACTCCATATATAAACAAGGGGAGAGAGAGACCATATATAAACAAAGAGGAGAGAGAGAGAGAGAGAGAGAGAGAGAGACGAGGGGGCCGGGGGGTCCAGCGAAACCCCTCCACAGACAGAGAGAGGAAGAGACTAGCGAAACCCCTCCACACAGAGAGAGAGAGTCTAGCGAAACCCCTCCACCACTTGTAGGAGGCTCATAAACATAGAAGGGCAGAACAAAGACAATCCCATACAACACGAGTATCAGTGAGAATTTACAATGATTGATGAATGAACTATACACGACACTCGGAAAAAGCCCCCCGAGAGGCCATTAAGTTACACCGATTGCTCATTCATTCCAACCCCATCTGTGAAAACAATATCAACACACAAAATGACCCCAGCACAAACATTATTCATTGCCTCAAGCTAGAGCTCCCAACCTTGTTAGTAAGAATAGGCTTATCCTTTAAACCCCCCAGAAGGGTTTCAGAGCCACTACTCGATTGGTTCTCAGCATGCCCAGGCCTCATCCATATCTTCAAATGGCCTTCTCGACAAACCGTGAGGACAGACTCGTGAGTGAAAATCAAGCCTGAGAGAGGCTCCGCGTGCACACGATGAGCAACGACAGGAGACAATTTGGGTACGTCTCTGATGCTTGGGGCGGCTTGGAGGGTCCCAACAGGACTCACATTGTCCCAGATGGCATGTGGGCTTCCCCCGCTGAATGTCGGGGAACCTCCAGGGGGGCAACGACGTAGCGGGACAACAATTTCATCCATCACCAAGTCCCATAGAAGCAACTGAGTGTCCTGCTGATTTAGAAAGATATTAGATATGTTTAAGACCACGAAAAAACACATTCAGGTTTTAAATAGTTTGCTAGCACCTCCATGACCATCCAATGTCAACAAGGGATGGGCGGGGTGTTGTTCCTCTGCTCAATGTCTGACCAAATGATTAAGCTGCTATCACTTGTAACAAAATGCTGCAATCATGTGTGTGTGTGCATGACACTCACGAAGCAAAGTTCACGCAATGCAGTAGTGAAGCATGTATATACTGCTGTCTGCCGGCAAGTAAATTACCCTGCCTTATGTTATCTTCTGGTCAGAATTGTTTTCCATTGGTTAGCGAAGGTAGAACTCCATATAAATAAAGCCTAATACATACTAATACCATAACTGACACATTTAACGCTCCAGTGAAGCTGATTTTCATCATAATATCAGCCCCTAGATTTACGAATTAATATTATTATTACCCTTTTTTTTAATAAATATTATTGTAACCCTTAATCAATTGCAGAACCTGATGGAGAAATTAATGATATGCGAATAGGGATAGGAACATTTTGGGTGAGAATTTAAGGAAGAGGACTTTGATGCTTCATCGCAAAGCAAATCACTGTACAGCTTTCTTTTTTTACATAAAGTTGACTTTATACATGCACTAATAAAGTGTACATATGTGAATAGCCCTGGTGTAAGTGACACTAAGGAGGCTCTCCTGGGGAACTGTTTTGTTCTTGACAACTGTATTTATATGCACATACAGCTCTTCATAAAAACAACTTTCTTTCCTTTTTTTCCTTCCCCGGAAAAAGTATGGAGATAAGCAAGGGAAGCAGAATAGTCTTACCTGACCAACAGAGCCAAATCGGTACATCACACCCTCGCCTGTGTTATCTGAAGATGGTGGAGACCAAAATGGATCAAAAGCAACACCACTCACCTGCAAAACGATCATGGGATACCTAAAAGTAATTCACCAGTATAAATCATATAGACCATTGCATTGATATTTAGGTTGGTTCAGATTTTGTCTATGACAAGTGACATTAAGGTTGGCAGCCAGAACATCAACCTTGGATGTGGTCTCTGTCATAGCCACTCAGGAGGCCAAATCCCTAGACTACAACATTAATAAGTGAATATGAACTTACCCATGAATTATGGCCCTCTCCCCAAGCCACCACTTTACGATCATCCATGCTCCAAACTTGAACTAGGTCCTCTTCCCCACCAGTCAATATGTATTTACTATCAGGGCTGCCCAACAATTGAATGATCCACTTTTAGATATCATCTCATATCAGCATCGTACCTAGATGGAGATCTTAAGTGGAAAATATTTTTTGAAGTGTTAACGGTGGGAATAGAGCCTAGACGTTAGGTTGAGGCACCTGTCCCCTAATCACCAATGGCCCAACCTCGTTCCCAATCTAAAGTGGAAAATATTAACATACCAAACTTAACACCAGTAAAAGATTTAAAGAAAAAATAAAGCACCGGCAAATATAAAAGGCAGGGGACAAGAAGTAGAAGATTTGTCCATTACCTCCAAGCACAACATAGTAAAGCACCATAATAGCTTTTGCCCCCGCATATCAGTTGCTCCTTTGAGTAGTCAAATACTCTCAAGTAGCCTGCATGTGCCACATAATCCAGTACAACATTTTTATTTAAATTTATTCCTCTTTTTTTCATAAGGAGGCTAGATTCAAATGAAGTATGCAAGCAAGAAAAGTAAAAAGGTCCACAGTATGAGGAATCGGAGAAGCACCATCTCTTCCAACAGTTGCCAAAAACATTCCATCAACTGAGAAGGAAATGTTGTTTATTGAACCTTGGCAAATATGCCATCTGGAAATGGCATTGCTCTGCAAGAGAATCCTCACATAATCAACACAAAATGATGCAAGTCATGATAAAAAAAATGCACCATAATATCAACTGCATATAATCTTGGGAAAACAAAATATGTTATTGTTGTAGACAAATAAAATGTCAGTAAATTTTAAAACTCTTCAGACATTGTTTTCCAGAGAATGTGTTGCGCAAAACCATTGTATCATTTTTCTAAAGAATTGCCTACCACCTTGTGAATATCTCCGATCTTCCCGGCTGAAACCAAAAGTAGCACATTTTTTCATGTTCTCATATAAGTTGTATTAAATTCAATACAGTTTTAGATACTTATCAAGATCTGGCCCTCACTGTCCCCAAATATGACATGATAGAATTAAGGGTGAGATTCCTAGTGCCAATTTGGTTCCCTGGAAATGGGGCTCCTAGAGTCTCATTTCCACAGAAACAGCCCAGACTGACCTGTTTGGTTCCTTCTGAAGACAGAATGACATTTCTGCAGGGAGTCCTGTATCCTCATATTAAGCCAGATTTCAGGAAATGTCAATTCTGCGGGAAGTCCTGTATCCTCATATTTGGGTGCGATTGACATTTCCTGGAATCAAAAGTTAAACGCACAGATCCTAGTGTTATTATTAATATTTTTAATACCACTACTACTACTATTGTTATTATAAATATTATTATTCAAAATATTTATTAGTGAAATAGTGATCATTTAAATTTTTTTTATTATAATATTATGTTAATTATTGTAGTATTATATAATTATTATTATTAGCCAACCCCAATTAATTGGGATAAGGCTTGTCGCCCCTCTCATAACGGACAAAGCCAGGATCCCCTCTATCCCTCCTAAGATCCAAGTATTCCGCTGGATCACTCTTCATGAAAGGGCCCTAACCCTAGACCATTTACAGAGGAGAGGCCTATCCCTTCGTAATAGATGTGTTATGTGCCTCTCGGCTGAGGAGACTAATCCCCATCTTCTCATCCATTGCAAGGTAGCTGATGCCCTTTGGACTGATGTACTTAACCTGTTCATGTGGCATTGGGTCATCCCCAAGTCCATCCCTCAGCTTTGTTATATCTACCTGCGGACCCCTTGGAAAAATTCTGGATACTTCCTATGGAGAGCCTCCATTGCTGCCATTTTATGGACCATTTGGCTAGAAAGAAATAGCAAAATCATTAGTGGGGAAGCAGCTTCTATTCTCTCCCTAATTGAGGGATACCGCTCCTTTAGTCCCGATCTTGGCAAGCAACCACAAACTCCTAAAAAATTACTTCTTTGCTGTGACCCATTTCACAACTGGCATAAACTCTTACATTTGCATATTCCCAGGATCTCTTGCTCCTCATTGTGGGGACCACCCCACTTTGGGCAAACCAAACTAAATTTTGATGCTTGTTCTCTCCAATACCCGGGCCCCTCTTGGGTAGGGGCAGCTTCCGCAACTCAGAGGGCTCCTCCCTCCTTTCTTTCTCCTTACCTATTGGAACCACGGATTCCACTACTGCAGAGGCCAAGGCCTTGCTTGAAGGGCTCCAAAGATTTGACCCTACATGGAACACTGAACTGCTAATTGAAGGCGACTCCAGCAACATTATTTCTGAAGGCTTTGGGGCTGCTCCTTGGCCCTGGAGGCTAGACCCCATCTTTGTCAAAATTTCTGAGATTTCAAGCATGGTGAGGGTCACCTAGAACCATGTTTTTAAAGAAGCCAACGAGATAACAAACTCTCTAGCTAGGGAAGGAGCTAGCCTAAACTCTAGTATAGGACCGATGGGATTTTTTTAAGGCCTGCGCTCGATTTCTTTATCCCCTTGTGTACCTAATTTACAGCTTTTGTACACTTCGGATTGTTTGCATAGAACACCCATCTCTTGGGTTGGCTATCTTTGGAAGACTCCCTTACTATACCCTTTTATTGATATCAATACAATTGTCAACTTATTCAAAAAAAAAAGTTGATAATGATAATAACTATAATAATAGCAATATTATTATTATTACTGTAATAATAATAATACAATAATATTATTATATAATTATTATATTATATTTATATTATTAATTAATAATTATAATTATGATGGTAATGTTTGAAGGCACATGTTTCATGGAATGTAATGTTGGATTTAAGGACTGTTTGGATATTCTATTTTTGCCTCAAATTTTGGCTGTTGTTGAATATCAAAAGACAACTCAGCAATTTTGAAATATTGCCATTTATTCTTCACTTGGACAAACGCTAAAAAGGACCTAAACAATTCTTAAGTACAATAATCACAACATTGAGAATGGTTATTTTAAAAAAAATAATGATAAAATGTAAATTTTTAATTTCCTCAAGATACATCTTCCAGGCAATCCAAACAGTGAAGATGCATCTCCCAGGCCTCTCCCAGATGCTATCCAAACAGCATACACCCATCTTCTAGATTATGCCACTTCCCGGAGATACCAATTTCAGGATACACATTTCCCCAGGAGTCTCATTTCCAGGGAACCAAACAGGGCCTTAAGGAAGTTCTTTTTTATACTGAATGGGGCCTTAAGGAAATTCCTTTTTATACTGAACGGGGCCTTAAGGAAGTTACCATCAAAGCCAAGCTCCAAAATACCTTAGGTTGTTTGCTCACCTAAACCTTCAGCCTCAGAAACAAGACTGACATACAGATCACTATTATCTAGTTATGTACCAATCCTATGCACCAATGCTGAACTCTATCATAACTGAAGTCCAAGAACTTCGAGAAAACCTAATTCATTAACACCATAATAAGTACCTACAAATATCCCACCATTCTATCCTTCCTAATTTCCATATAAGACTTTTTCTTTCTCAATTTATTTCCATAAAGAATTAAAGATTGTTCGTAATCACATCTTCTACAGTATGTGGCCTCTCTTGAGGATCATATGACAAACAACAACTCCAGAGAGTAGCCATCAAATGTGAAATGAATCAAAATACATTAACCGATAAAGATCTGACCAAGAACACCCCATGTCACACCCCAAGAATTTATAATACTGATATTCCTGAGATGTGACAGTCAAAACATATATATACATCGCTTTTTAGGACAAATTTACAATGGCGAATTTTT